ATTATACAGAACTGGCCCTAAAATGGAGCCCTGTGGAACCCCATAGATGACCAGCTGCGAGCCTGACGTAACCCCATTTACCACAATCCTTTGAGCTTGACCCATCAGCCAACTGTTCTCCCATCACATTATGTATTTGTCCTGTTATATGCTAGACATTTTGTCCAGAAGGATTTCGTGAGAAACAGTATTGAAAGCTTTGCTGAAATCCAGAAAGATTACATCAACTGTTTTCCCTTGGTCAACAGGGTGGGTAACATTGTCATAAAATTAAATGAAGTTCATTAAAGAGGATTCCACCTCATGAGCCCATGTTGGGTGTGACCAAAAACTGCATTGTCCTTCAGGTTTTCAATAACTCCCAGAATAATATTCTCCATAAATTCACCAGGCACTGAACTGAGACTGACTGGTCTGTAATTACCAGGGTCTTCTTTCTTGCCCTTCTTGAAAACTGGAACAAGCTTCCAATTGACTGGGACCTCTCCAGATTCCCAAGACCATTGAAAAATAATTAACAGAAGTCACAATGACATCAGCCAGCTCTTTGAGTACCCTGGGATGAATCCTCTTGGGCCCCATACGCCTACATGCATACAGCTGGAGCAGCAATTTCCACGTAAGTTTGGGGTCAGCTGGGAGTTTATCATTACTGCAGTCATAGTCCTTCAACTCAGGTCTCCAGGAGACCCACAGCTCATCACTGGTGTTGAAGACAGGCAAAAAAGGCATTAAATGTCTCTGCTTTGTCTACATCTCTGTTTGTGAGGTGACTACCCTCACCAAGTAACAGACCAATGCTATCTCTCATTCTCCTTTTGCTGTTAACATATTAAAAAGCAAATGAACAAACAAATGTTTAAACAACTTTTTATTATCCCCACAGTTCTGGTCAGCTTCAACTCTAATTGAGCTTTGCTCAAATTTTCTCCCTACAATGGCAAACAGCGTTGCTGCAGTCCTCCCACCTTGCCCAGTCTCACTTCCACTGCCCATACACTTGCTTAGTCCACCTAAGCCTAGAGCTTAGGTGGACTAAACTCACCACTAAGATCACCACTAAGCTCACCACTAAGATCACCACTCAGCCCAGCTGGCTTTCTTTCTCACCCACTAGACCTTTGACATTTTGGAATTGTCTGTTCCTCTGGTCTTCTTAAGTGGTGGTACTACGCTGTGAAGGACAGTAGAGTGCTCCCAGCATTTAATGCCTTCATAAACTTGAAGCATCAACAAAAACAGAAGTCTATAGAACACCTCCCACGTCTTCTTTAGTATGCTTACTATTTTGAAAAAACAGAATATACCTTTGATAATGTTTCATTCAGAAAGACTGAACAACTGTCATAACCTGCTGATCTCATCTACTGTGTAACAAGTCAGGAAAACAATATTTCAACTCAAGTAGTAAAGAACAGAAATGTATGTTATTTTGTTTCACAAAATGATTTATCTCTGTGGAGACTGGTATAGATGGTGGTGTCTTTTTTCAGTAATTTGGAAGCCTGGGAAATGCACATTTTCCTTGATGGAGAAAAATGGCTAAAAATCAGACTAAGGTGTGCTTCTTGATGATGACAAAAGGCAGTCAGCACAGAAAATTAAGTCCTTTTTGCTTTTTGAGAACCAACATGGTTACCAAATATAGATATCCATACAGATCAGCCTCTGCCAGACAATATACAACCACAAAAAGTCACTCCAAGAATGGGAAAAATTAAGGCCCATTTACATGCCAAAAGCTTTAGATGCAGTAAAAATTACTGTATTTACGATCAAAATACATCTTGTTTAAAGTGTCCCTATGAAATGTACTTCTTTTCACCCTGAACTTTTAGCCATTGATTAAACTTATTAAGTATAAATTTAGTCAGCATTTTTAAGAGTGAATTCTGTCACTTTTACATTGACTTATACATCCAGCATTTGTACAGTATGTATCATTACTTCTCAGTATAAGAGAGATAATAACAAATTACTGGTCCAGAGGCTCTTTCTGTACAGCACAGGTATATTTTTTCCTCCATTTCAAAGAAAAGGTGAAAGTAAATAAATAAGCTGCTTTGCAGCAGTGTAATAAAAGCTTTTCTGTATCTGAAAAGTGCATCATACCTTGAAATAATAGGTTGCTCTGTTCCACAGGAAAACAGTGAATTGCCAGTATAAAATGCAAAGTTCAGATAGCTGGAAGCTTGACACTTGGATCTGTCTTCTGATCAAGTGAATTGTACGCAGTGTACCAACACCAGGCATGTAAATACTTGAGCTACACTACAGATGGAGACAGGCAGGAACTCAACTGGGCTTTCCTCAGTCCTTTTAAATTGTTTGGAGATAGTTACCACCAAACAAGGCTACACTATCTCCCTGCAAACATACACCTATCTTGAGCCATTCACTCCTTCTGTCTCTTGCTTATATGAGTGAGCTGCACACAGAAGATGTTCTGGCCAAAAAAGATATTCCTGTAGGAAGATCACTGTAGCTCCTACCTCCTTTGCCTTCTGAAGCTTACCTCTTCAAGCAGGAGCTATAAGCAGCCACATTTACTCAGCATGATAGTTTATTTGCATTGGGTTCTGTAGCTGAAGCTTTTACACAGAGCATAAACCATAAGAGAACAGCAATAGCCATCCTTTGCTTGTCTTTCAGCAAATCATTAAGACACCTTAATTAACAAATATATTTTTGTGTCTGGGTGCGAACAAAATGTCAATGGTACCCTTGAGGTATGAAGACTGGAGAGCTCTCACCAGCTCACCTAAAGCAGACAGCTGTATCTGGTCAGCTAGGTAGCTTGTTAGGCTCTTAGCTAAAATGGTAATTTAGGCCCACCTGACAAAAATACGTTTACTTTCCTTGAGCCGTTTCTGTCCACTGAGGATCAATTCAGCTGGTAAGTCTACCATCCTTTTGGCTTTTAGATGAGACAATCTACATCAGACCTGTGCTGTTTGGATCAGCACTTGGAAGCCTGATTATATACCTCACATGCCACTGGACTTCTGTGTAGAAGAAACTGTAGAATCACTATACAGTGATTCCTTGGGGAGGAAAGGGTTTACCCGTGTCCAGTTGGATTCCAACAGCTCCCTCTCTACTCCTGGATAGAGAAGACCAGCAGTAGTAAATTACTACATTACACACTGGGAAACATTCAAAATATGGCATTTTTCATAGAGACAGACTATCTGGCGTTTCTGACTTTTCAGAGTTCAATACTGGTAGGTTTTGGGTATAACTGTAAATAACTATCGAGGTCTGTCAGAATATCTGATTTGTTGATTGAACTGTAGGTGTAAATCTTGAGCTAATGCAGTTTATTTATTTGCAACCACAGGCTGTTCCAGCCAAAGGTAAACTGGCCTGCTAAATTAGTAACACATGTCTGGGCCAATTCTGGGTACAGCATGTCCAATCTCTATCTATAAATTTAGGCCTGTACTTCTATTTTTAACTAAATACATATCAGCCAGTGAAAACACTGAATCCAGCAGGTATTGCCTCTCTTCTAAGGAAAGATGCCTTACACTTTATTCAGTAAGAAATACGTGATCCTGACAGAATCTCTCTTCTCCATAAACATTGAATTATCTGAAATAAAACACGGTGTGTCAGGACAGATCAAAGACAATACATTTATTAAACTTTGAGGAAAACAAACAAAACACTGACATAAGGAAAGTTAAATAGAAACTGAAAGACACATCTTCTGACCGGCTTATAATGGCTTGTGTGACCAGTAAAGTACCAAAATGACATTCTGAGTTTGATTGAGGTATTTAACTATTTTTGGCAATAGAAACAGAGTAAGAAACTTCTTCCAAACACACACATAGGCATTACTTGCATTAGTGTCTATCATCTATGAAATTTTATATGAAACTAAATAATGTAGCTGTTAGAAAAATATAGCAGCAAATTAGCAGAATATCTAATGCACATTTACCATAAAGTACGTGCTAAACGTAAAAATCCCACTGAATAGTTGGGCCCAGTCCTGTAGCCCTTGGTCACAAAGAGAGCATCAGTGAGTTCAGTGGGAGACATCATGAGCAAGACCTGCATTCACTGCACTTCACACGCTGTTCAGGTCAGACAATGGCAATGAACATCCCCATTTGTTTTCTCAGAAGAACCCCGTCATGACGGAACTATAGCCTAGCAAGGTAACTTCTGAAGCAATAACATTTCATTACAAAGCCCTATCAAGCTCTTAGTATACTTAATAACAAAGAGAGCATTCCCACTGAGTTTTGGCTTTCTCGCCTTTCCTAAGAAAGTCTGCCTAACGCAGTCACAGGAGATGCTGTTAGGCTGCAAAGAAGATAAACTCATTTGAACAATACTGTATTCAATTTGCTTGTTCCATTGAAGCCTTTCAACCCGGTTTTAGCTTTAAAAATCAACTGCTGGCCAAATCCTGAAGTCCTTGTTTTATTTTCTTAATCAATACTTCATGTGGCACAAACAATAACTGTAGCGGTAGCTTTGGCTGTTGGAGGGCTTCAGAAGTTGGTCAAAAGCAAAAAGATTATGCTGTTAAGTCACCAGAGCTTATTCATATGTTTTCAAAATTTTTCAATTAAAGTGTAGTTTCATGCTATTTAATTTTGTGGTCAACAAAATCTTGCTTATAAAAAAGTGTATTATTATCATTAACCAGAACTCGACGAAGAACAGAATCTTTTGTCCAAATAATTTGTATAGTTTAAAGTTTTCTATAAAACTTTAAATTTTCTATATATTTCTATATTAGTCACCATAAGAAAGTAATAGGATCAGTTGCTCTAAGTTCCTACGATATTTCAAAATTTCTCTACAGATTCCTCTGGAGGTATAAAATGGCTCTGTAAAAATCTATTTTTAATTTTTGCTGCAAACAAAAATTTTATAAAACAGAAAACTCCTTTTTAAGATTGCAGCAATTACGCTCCTTGGATGGGTCATCATAATTAAACTACAGTGTGTAGTATAATATAAAACATCTACGCTTTTTTGACTAAAATATTAAAATACATTTTATTAATTTACATAGATCAAAATAAATGTTTTATTCAAATTACTTTTTTTTTTTAACCTATGCTCAGTTCCCAATTATTGATATAAAGATCTCTGTCAACAGCATTTGATTTTTACTAAATTCTTAGACTTTAGACCACCTGATTTTTAGCTTTATCGAAAAGCATGATTTACTGTACATTAAACATAGTCATTTCAATGTTCAGTATCACAAAAATCAACACCCACGAGAACAAGACAGTCACGGCTAGTAAAACAGTCTCAAGACAAATTCATAGATAATATTTACAGAACAATAGGAATATTTTGATGAATATTTTATGCTTCAACACTTGAGATAAAATTATAAGAACCACGAGAAACGTTTAGACTTCATTTTGGTTTCAGCATACAAGCCCAAGCTGACTCTCTGCTGTGAAATACTGCACACACCTAGTCAAAGGAGAGCTACGGCATGATTTTGTTCAGCTGGTCTGTGCTCACATAGCCACAAGACATGTTGAATTCTTTCTCTGGCACAGGCAGTGCAGTTGCATTGAGCACAAGGCCTTGTGGAGAGTGAACTATATGGATAGAAGTATAGTCTGGGACAGGCATCTCCAGACCTGGGGTTTCTGCCATTGAAGCCCCAAGACCGATACCAGTAGTGGTAAGGCTTTCTGTGGTGAAGTAAGCGTCCTCATTACAGCTTTGCTCCTGCACACGCGGCTCATCCTCTTCCTGGGAAGTCACAGCAATACATTTTTTCACATCTGCCTCGCAGAAATAGGCACTGTCCATGTCAAAGCTTTGTTCTGTGCAGCCTTCACACTGTGCTCTCCCCACCTTGGATTTCTGCCCTGGTGAAAGTACAACACTGCCTGATGGAGTAATATCACTCACTTGCGCATAGAAGTCAGTGTTTGTCAAGGAATTCTGGTTACTGAGCTGGGTATGGACTGATGGACTAGCTGAGTCGCTGCTGTCTGCAAAAGGTGGCCACGACTCGCTGCGTTCAGACTGCGTATTGGTATGTGGCTGCTGGGCGTCTGCGTCAGCAAGAGTTGGAAGGGACTCGTCATCATCTTTCCTGTCAAGGCACAAGAGATCTTCTTCTTTATCAGTTACCTTTTTGAACTGATCGATATCAGAGATGGCATCACACGTGTCGCTTGCACTGAAGTCTGTCTCTGGAATATCTGGTTCGCAACAACTGGCCCGTCCAGAATCATCATCCTTTGCTCCCAAGCAGCTGTGTGATTTCAGACGATCATCACTCAGGAGCCTGTCGGTGTCTGAGACTCTGTTCTTTTCATCGGAGTCGTCTATGTCCAGCTCAATAAACTCGACCCACAAGTCATCATTGTATAGCTGTGTCTTGTAGCTGTCATGGCTGGCTAAGATGGAGTTCACTTCATCTAGCTTTCCTTTCTATAAAACAAGAAAAAAGGGATGTTGCAAAGAAAAGAATAACGATGTCTGTGCTTTTTATGATGTCAATTTAAGCAAAAGTAACTGCGGCTGATCTAATAACTGCAAGGTACCATTTTTTTTTTTTTCTGTATTTTTGAAAACTAATTTGTTGCAACTCCCCCATGTTGCCATAAAATGTAGCAGTTTTTTCATACAGATTTGTTCTGCTAGGGACAACAATTGTTACCTGTTACTGGGATTCCCACTGTAGATTTTAAAGCACAAAATTACCTTCAGGAGATCTGGGTCAATCCCTTTAATCTTTGGAACTGGCACAGGAGGAAAAATCAGCATTTTTAACCTGGAAAAAATAAATGTTAGTTTTTAATTTACAGCAGTCCTTTCTGAGGAAGCTTGAAAGAAAAGAGCTTTACTTTGTGTTTAGACTTACTTAAAAATTGAAATGCTTGAAAATTCAATTTAAAGTAGTGCTTAGGAAAAGAATGATTGTTATTTTTCTCTCATTCCAAATAATAAAAAAGCTTTCTGCAGCCTGCCTTGCTGAAATCATATACACTTATGCTGGACTCCATTCTGACACCATTCTGTTATTTTAACACTCATAGAAGGAGAGTAAATTCCTAGAGCATTGTCAATACTTTCCCTTTTTATGTAATTTCCCAAAGTTCTTTTTTTGAGGGATAAAGTAGTCTTGCATAAGCCCAATAAATTTAAAGAGGGGAACAGAAAAAGGGAGTTGGTGAAAAGAATGAATTACTTTAGAACTAATAAATAAAACAGAAACACAACAGCATAAATGCAGGCCAGTATTTTATCTCTATGACTGTTGTGTTTTCTGAATTATTAATGCAAAAAGTAATATATAATAACAGCAAAGTTTTATCCTTGTAGACAAAGACTGAGTAAGTTGCTTATGCATGTACACACTGTGAAAACAGTTATTTTTCTAACCCTTCATAAAAAGAATTTCAAATTATTTGGGAAATAACATTGATAAAAATCCAGCATCAGTGGGTGATGCCTATCCTCCTCCATTTTACCTCCCTGCTTCTTTTGCAAACAGATTTCCTGTACTCCCCAAAAGAGAAATTCAGTGTTGTTTTTATACTGGACTACTTGCCTATTTTAGAAGGTAAATGGTGAGAATGGTAGAAACAAATCCAATTATTAATTTTGCTGTAATGTTAGTGACCTCAGCAAGGTCCAGGGATTATCAGAGGAGTCTGAAGAAGTGCTAGAGAGAAATTTAGGCACCTTCTGCTTAACTACAGAAGGCCCACATTCCCCAGCTGTTTTTGTTTTTTGGCAGACCCTCAAATGTTCTGCCCAGTAAAGCCTCAATGAGAGCCAGAAATCCTGTAATTTTCCACTTAATCCCTGAAGGGGTTGTGCTAGCTGTGCTGTCAGTGTACTAGTTTAAGATCTGCATTTCCAGTTGAATCCACAAATCAGATATTCTGGCAGGACTGGGCACTGCATCTAACAAAACAGCTGACAGAGTTTACCACTCTCTGCCTCGAGAAATAATCAGGGAGAGAAAACTACACTCAGCCTTAAGGTAGTTTAAGCCTGCATCTCTCAACTCTCAAAGAGAATGGCCTAAACCTGGGGCATCTGTCCTAGAGAGCCTAGTTCAGAACTTGTCAGATCAGATTGAAGAAGTATGAATTTGGATCTTTCCAGATACAGGAAGAAACAACCTGGATATTTTGCATTGCTGGAAATCTGTGCAGCCTCTGTCTCCTCTGCAGGAGGTATTGCCACTCCCAGCACAACATTCATATGCACCAGATTGAAGGAATGGGAGGCGTATAGGTCCAGAAGTACATCCTGGATAAAGGGTACTCAGTGGAGAAAAGTTTTCTCCAGTAATCATGATTAGCACTGAAGTAAATGAGCTGTGATCAGAGACATGCTTCAGCCCTTGGGATTTTTTGTGACCAAGCCTCTCCTTGCTCAGTGTGTCGAGTGGTAAGCTTCTGGTCCTGTGTGTGAGATCTCCTTGCACCAATCTGACATGTCTAGCTTTTGCCATTCATTGTGTTGGGAACCTTGACCTTAACTCCAGGATCAGGATACTATTGTAGGGAGTGGCTTACTGGAAGTTGAACACTGCTAAAGCATAGAGCTGCTGGCCTAAATTATTTTTTTAGAGGTAGCTCCAACTGCACCATCTTGTTTTCATTTCAGTGACATTGTCCTTGTACAATGCAAAACACTTCAGTGTTCATTTTTCACGTGTATATATAACACCACTAACAACATGCCTGCGTGCACTGGGGCTGGACCATGGTGCTGCTCCATAGTCTAGGACAGTATTGTAATGACATCTAAGGTGAATTAGTTCTGCCAAAGCCCATCCCTGAACACATGTTTTAGGGGATGAGTTCACTCTGAGACCATTCTGTCATTCTTATAAATGTGCCATCGTGTCATTTTTACAAATGACACAATCCTGAGTTTTGTCTTATTTTGTTCCTGTTATTTATAGGAGCGGCAGTCTATCCACAGATACCAAATACTGCCCTATGACTCAAGTTCTTTTCCTTGGCTCAGTAAAGAACTAGTCAGATTACTGGAATAGTCCAAGAACAAAAACAAATATAAAGCCATATGTTTGAGTGAAACTTTTGAACAGGAAGTGTGTAAAGACAGCATTTACAAAATTTGAATGGACAAAAAAAACCCAACAAAACTTCAAAGCCTAAGTACATTAACTAAGTAAATACTGTATTATAAAATGTTCTGCAATCTAAAATGAATGGAAGCTGTCAAAATAATCAGATTCCTCCTGCTCAAGGACCAGTATGTACATGTACATATACCAGCATCCATGTAACTTAAGAGGATGGACAGCAACAGTCAAAATAATTTCTACTCCCCCAAATTTGAAAAAGTTGAAGCATCCTTTTTTTTAAACTACAAGTAAATAAAATCTGATGGACAAAGATCCCTACCTTGGTTGTTTAGACAACAGGATTAAGATCACCGTTACAGCCAGCCCACATGCTCCGAAGATAACAACTAGGAACCATGGAAACTCAATTTCTGAAAACACAGAGCAAAAACATATTAGCAGGAATCTGCATCTCTGTTGCCTCTTTAACTTCCACCTTCTCTGCCAAAAGAATTCCAAAGTCCTACAAATTTATAGAAGAATTTTTGGTTATATAAATGTTAAAGTTCTGTAGCAAGAAGAAATAAAAATACCCTTTGGTATCAACAGCTTCCATATTGCATTCATGACTCTACCAAGACTCCTTGCAAAGACAGAGTGAGCTTTTTGATATGAACAGGATCTTGGCACTGACAATATATGTAACGGAAGAAAACAAGAATAAAATTCTGCCTGCTTGGGACACACTACCAGTAGTCTTGTTGCAGAGCATGCGATGGGTTCTGTTTGCCTAAGCTGAGAGAACATCATTAATAGCATGTAACTCCACTAAATCATAGACAAAGTATTCCTCTCTCTTAGAAACTAAAATATGGTGGTGTCAAAAGCCATAATATTACTCTTTTCAAAGGCAGAACATCACTCTTTCTAAAGGCAGAACATTAATTATGTCATGGGCTGTATCAATCAGTTGCAAAAAAAAAAAAAGAAGAAAAGGTCATTAATTGAAGTGATGTGGTAGGAACAAAGAAAATGTTGGTAAATGTAATGCTTTAGCTTTTAAATACTGTCAATTCCATTATACTTACACCAACACTGCAGAATACAAAGTATAGAAAACTTTATTCTGGCTGTAGCCGTAGTTTCTTTTAATTTATTCCCAAATTTAAGTTTTCCATATCAACTTCACTCATTTTTTGGGCCAAGAAATACTGGACAGGGAGCTTTAGAATTCTATATGTGAGCATAAATATATGGCCTTTTGGGGAAAAAAAAATGTTTTTAGGCACCAGTTTTAGGTATCTGCTCCCAGCTTAAAGTTTTGACTGCATGTTTTCAAATCTGAGTATTTAAGGTTCTATCTAGACGTGTCTGTGTTAGACAGGTCCCTGTTTTAATGGAGAACCAGTAACTTCTTCTAATGTCAGTAAGACCAGAGTCTACCTTCTTCAAAAAATTAGCATACTATACTTCAGTTTAGATACATAACTTTTAACACAGAAAATTTCAAGTCTGTGTTCCTAAAGGTGAAATACAAAACAAGGAAGAATACATTTTGCCAGACCCATCTTACGCTTTCTCAGTTTTCCCTTGTCTACTTCCAACTTGTATCCTGATTCAGCAGTGCTGTACATGTAAGAGAACTGATCCAGCAAATAAGATCACTTCTGCTATGTGAGATGTACAGAAAAGAATCAATTTGATGAATTTGGATTGTAGTGACTGAGGAAAACTGTGCTAGTATGATGGCCTTCGATTTTCACAGTATTTTAATTTTGCTCATATGAAAACCTTGGTAATGCAGATTGATTTGGGGTAACAGAACAATGTGGATGGAACATGAGCTATTCATATAAATGAGGAATGAAAATTAGTAATGCAAAGTGTTAAAAAGGGGGCTATGTCAAGACTTAGGACGATAAGAGTTATGAGTGGTTTGATTTAACTCCTAAACTAATACTTTGGAAAAAGAGGCAAAGCAGTTTGTTAAAACAATTTGCTGATGACTTCATATTTTGAAGAGTTAATTTAGTAGCTCAGACCTGAGAATGCTTTATGAAAAAGTACTGTCTCATTCCTTTCACAGAAAAAATGCGGTGCTCAATGGTTGCTTCTTCTTCTGTTTTTAACAGCACTTTAAAAAACAACTACAAGCACAAAAGAAAGAATATGAAAAACACTGTCCTTGATTGAACTAGGCAGATCAGGAAAGCACATCATTCTGATAACAAAGTCAGCAAATATTAAAACACCTTATTAGTGAAAATTCTCCTCTTCATTGCTGGAGTGCTCAGCTTAAACAATGAAGGATGAGATTTAACTGTCTTTATTTTGGGCTCTATAGCATTTGCAAAAGCTGATATTATTTCTTAAAACTATCTGTACTTTTGTTCTCTGATGAGCTGGGAAACAGTCTTGCTGAATGTAATTCTGAACCTGTGTATGGAACTTGCACATTCTCAATCTCACCAAATGATTTTCATGTGGTAGGCTGAATCATCAATCCATTTAAGTATACCACATCAAAGGGAAGGAGAAAAAAAAAAAAGGCATGAAGACAGCAATGGTTATAAAAACACTTCATTGCACCTCACTTATTTACCTTCAGCGCAATGAACAAATTCAACGCCTGCTTGAGAAAAAGATACATAGAGGATTTCACTGAACTCCCCAAATTTTTCGGAGGTACGTTGTCTTGATCGGACTCGTATCTCATAATCTCGTCCCATCTTCAGAGAGTACAGTGGAACCATTGTTGAGAGCCTGGGTTCTAACTGTAAAGACAGAATGACTGTGATTTATCTGTTTGAGTTTAACCTGCAGTTTAACACTACTTCTTGATTTCAGAAACAAACATTTAAAGGCATTTTTGCTACCTGGAACTTCAAGAATACATTGAAGAGTTCAGAGAAAATTCACATAATTCCCTTCAGACTTACTAGCTACTGGGCCTTGTTGTGATTCAGAAGACCAAACAGAAGAGAATCCAAGGTCTCTATATAAACAGTGAAAAAGGGCAGCTGCCCCCACTTATATGCTCTAAGTGGGTAGTGTGAGTATCTCCCACTGATCTTACCAAGCTGAAAATCCTTCTTACTGTTGACACAACATTATTGACTTCATAGTGCCAAAAACCTTGCTAAAGTAAAGTGGATATCTTAAAACTATGGAATTAATTGTAAGATGAAAAAATATTTAAAAGTCATCTAACCAAATTTATTATATCTTACAAATATAAGTATTTAGGCAAGGCTGCATAACTCTCCAAATCTTCAACTATATATAAAATGGGATAATGTATGGAGACTTTGGTAGAACTGTTATCACATTGTATGTTTTGAGACTTCTATATTAATTACAACATTCTTACTTACTGCTGCATATCAAACTATGCTGGAAGTCACACTGTAAGTCTTAATATGTGAAATCTCTCTTCTACTGCTTCTCTCAGAATATGTATTTGAGCTTCAACAGCCCAACACAAGTAAAAAAAACAAACAAACAAACAAAAAAAAACAAGGAAAATGTGCACAAAATATAAATCAACATGGCAGATGTTTTGTACTCTACTTTTACTTCAGAAGGATGATACTGGCAAAACTCACAGTGGGCTAAGAATTAAAACACCTGAAAAATAATACCTATTGGGGATTTCAAAAAAGAATGAACAATCCGCTGAGGGCACTGGGCCTGTTCAGCCTGGAGAAGAGGAGGCTGAGGGGAGACCTCATCACAGTCTACAACTTCCTCGTAAGGGGGTGTCGAGAGGCAGGAGACCTTTTCTCCATTAACACCAGCGACAGGACCCGCGGGAATGGGGTTAAGCTGAGGCAGGGGAAATTTAGGCTTGACATCAGGAGGGGGTTCTTCACAGAGAGGGTGGTTGCACACTGGAACAGGCTCCCCAGGGAAGTGGTCCCTGCACCGAGCCTGACTGAATTTAAGAAGAGATTGGACTGTGCACTTAGTCACATGGTCTGAACTTTTGGGTAGACCTGTGCGGTGTCAAGAGTTGGACTTGATGATCCTTAAGGGTCCCTTCCAACTCAGGATACTCTATATTCTATATATTCTAATCCAACCCAATAATCACTATGGCTGCATAATCTAAATTTGAAACAAATTCTATTGTTAGCTGTGATCTGTGGAGTACTTGTGATCCTTGATGCTTCTACACCAAGTGTTCTGACAGGTAAGTGGTCAGATTTTGGACAAGGCAGTGATCAGGCAGACTGCTTTTCTCTGTTAGTGGATGAGCACAAGATCCTGAAGAACCATTGCTCTATGCATCACAGAGGTTTATAATATGGTAAACCCATCCAGCTTCAAAGTGTTGGGAAGGGAATCTGATCTATGTTAATCTAGTTTACTAATTTTGTGTGATGAAGCCACAAAACAGAGCACACTGCAATTTTACAGCATGTAACAATGCGTTTTTTTTTCTTCCTTTTTTTTTTTTTCTAGAGCAACTAATGGAGTTACTTAGGAAATGGGTGCTGGCCACACAAAATTTTATGCATCACAGATAAGAGCAGCACTTGGAAAAGGCAGTATGCAGGCCAAAATGGAGTGCTGAAGGATGTGAAGTAGAGTTGCTGCAGCTGTATAACTGCAATGACCTGAAATTGGAAAGGGTTGCTACAGAACAGGTAACTGGTTAATGGGCAGGATGCCCCCAGACCATCTGTGGACTAACAAAACTGCACATGAGAACAGAGAGGTTAGCGCATGAACTGGAGAGATGAATAGCATTTCTCATATGGATGAAATTAATTAAAAGCCATATGAGAGAGATAACTAACAAAAATGCATGCAGCAGACAACAAGCATTTAGTGTCTGAAGGGGAGCTTCAGATGCAGACTGCTGGGTTGCTGGGGCTACGATCTGCCTGCTGTGCTCTGCTAAGTGAAAACCCACGGCCATGCTGGGCTGTGACGGTGCTGCCTGTCTGCAAGGTGGTGTTAAAACAGGCCACGGAGCAGCCCTGTCCCTGGTGGATGGGAGGCACTGGTAGCAGAGGCTGGCCCAGGCCTGACAGGCCCTGTGGCGGTGGCTGCTGCTGACCCTGCGGTGAGGCCTGGGAGATGCACGGCCAGGGAGAGGTTTGGGACTACCCTTAGGGCAGGCACAGTGTGAAGTGGGACACCCACACCACACGCAGGTAGTAGGTTGCACACCCAAGGCAGTGTAGGGTTTAGTTAGCACCCTGCAGACTAGCAAGCCCAGCTCTCAGGACTTGATGATCCTTAAGGGTCCCTTCCAACTCAGGATATTCTATGATTCTATGATTAACCCGCTCAGACACAGTGCTGTGGGGATGCAGCGGTGGAGGCAGCATGCCATGCTTCCCTGCCCTAAGCACACTGCACTGCACTAAGAAATTGACCTTTCCAATCCAAAATCCAACAACTTAGCAGAGCCAGCAGAGCCCTCGCTGGTCTAGCCCTCTTCAGTTTTAGTCTAGTGACTGTAGTGGACAACACTGCATCATGAAAGAGTAGAATTTTAAAATGATACCCAGGACCTAGTACCAACAATGAATGTTTTTCAAATTGTGAACAGGATGAAATTTGGCTTTGTCTCAAAACCAGCCACTCTATAAGGGTGGGGATTGTATTGTTGTTAGCAAGGTTCTCAAAATAATTTTGATCCTCTTATCACTGCAATCTACTGTTATAATAGTTAACCAATTAATGTCTTAGTCCTCTTTCAATATGTACATTACCTATTTTCATTTAGAAAATTGATTGAAAAAATGTATGATGTATGAAGTACCAAACAAGTTCATCCCCAAACCTCTAACAAAATTAGATGTAAATCTCAGCAAGGGTGTAACTTAGAATTTAAGCACTATGAATTCATAACTATATAATTTTTGGATCAGTTATATGTACAAACCATTATTATATATTTATGCAGTGTGAGATTATCCTTTGTGCATAAAACTAGTAATTTGGTAAGAGTTTAACACACATGTCTCTCTTTAGTGCTTCAACACTTACTTTAGAAGCTGTTTGTGAATGCAATGAATGCAGAGTGAAACTGCTGCTACACTACTAACAGTTTTGCCACTGTCTTTGTCCAGAGCAAGTTGTTCAAAAATTTCTTTTTTGTGTTCTAATTGATAGGTTCTCAATGTCATGTTCGTGCTTTTAAAATGAAACATACAATAACAGTACAATATGTACAGCTCCATTACAACATAATCTCTAGTACTGTTTTTTCTTGAGGTAAGTACAGTATTCAGCAGTATCTGTTTTCTGCAAGAAGAAATACTGAACTTCAAGGTTTGCTCTCCTGAGGAGAACCATTCTCAAGGCATACTGGAATTATTGATGATACTGGAGCAAGAACAATGGTTTAGTAGGGGATTTATATGATTGATATCTAAAGGATTATAAAAAAATCAAAATGTACATTTTTAAAGAAGTACCTGTATTACCACCTGCTTTTGTAAATCTCATAAACACCTGTAGATTTTCAGGTTCTTAAGGAATACTGATTTACTCCCTAAAGTTAAGTCAATTCACTTAAAATATAGAGGCAATACAGTAGATATAGAATCATAGAATCACAGAATGGTTTGGGTTGGAAGGGACCTTAAAGGTCATCTAATTTCAACCCCATATATAGCTTAAACAAGTATTCAGAAAAATTCAGAAAATTATTAGGAAAACAATATAGACAATGTAAGTCCTGTTTGGCTTTAGACTTACTAACAAGGATGAGGATAAACAGAAAAAAATAAATTGAAAAATAAATTGAAGAGGATCAGAGGTGAGAAGGGCTCCAAGGTCTTTCATGGATGAAGGCCAACAAACCAACTTGACCATGTTTCAGCTGGTAAACTTGCTTTTTGTAAATTTAGACAAATTCTTAAAAGTACTATCTGCTTTCCTTCTGTCATTTAACTCAGTTCATATTAATAAGAAAACAAAGAAAGGGTTCTGCTCTGAAAAGATGTTCTTACTGCATTGAGCATGTATTCAGAGAGAAGTCTCCATATGCAAATATTCTGTGACATATTGGCAGTTAGCCTATACATTTAGGTAAGTTGGGCACAATTTTTACCTGTAACAGGAAAACTAACTACATGATAAATCAGTGATTTTCAAATGAAAATTTAAAAAAATTGAGGCATAAACACTTCATAGTATACATTTTCATGGATTACCCCTACAGTCACAAATTTCACCTTGCTCTCTTGCATGAAATCTGTATCTCTTACCTGTGTTGCATTGATTTTGTTTATTGTATCAAATTTTAAATTATAATTCAATCTTTTACTTATTTTTTAATCCACTGAAACAATATTTATAAACACCAGAACTTTATAAGTACCCTGAAGAATCTGGACCAACGTAGTGACGTTTTCCAAGCAAAAAATTCCTGTTATAACTACTAAAATTCCATGCACTTTTTCAAATAAATGAGGTTTATGAAAACAATACAGAAATATTTTATTATTGAAAAATGTGTATATATTTGACTACTGCTGCACTTTCTAATCTAACTCCGGGATTTCAGGGTCTCACTGTCATCCTGTGTGCCAGCTTTCTTGACATGTAATGTTACAACGTTTGTGAGAAAACTTGAAAAGAATACAGGTACATTGTTTAAGATTTAAGATATTGTCTAATTAGCATTTACAAACCTGTTGCTTTTCAAAAGAGCATAAAAGAGGATAGAACAAGCCTGCACTGTACTATGACTATTGTATAATAAATATTTGCTCCATACCTCCTTCCATTTTGTCTCATTAACTTCTTTGTACTGCAACTCATACTCCAGAGTAATCCATCCCTTCTGAACATCTGCTGTTGGTGGTGGATCCCATCTTACTTGGATATCCCCATGGATCCCAGTTTGACTAGTATTTAGCAGAGTCCAGTTAAGGTGGACAGGGGGATCAGGTAGTACTGTTTAAACAGAGTATTTGGAATGAAACAGCCAGTTTTCAATGCGATATGACCATTCTTACTACACACTTGTAAATGATTCCAGGACTAAAAAAACATATTAATCACATATCTGCTGATTAAAGTCAAAACCTATGAGTCAATGGCAAAGTCACTGGAAGCCTGATAACAAGAAGGCACCCTGCTACCAACATGCTCTCCATTAATTTTACCTGAACAGTTAATAACTAAGAACAGACTAAGACTAAGAACAAGCTACCTATTAAAATATATTTTCCAATAGAAGCTTATAAAACACTGCGGCATAAGTAACTCTCCATAAAAATTTATATTTAGAGTTCTCTCGGTAAATAAAAACTATAATTGAAGTAACACAGAACTATAAATATTCAGTAACGACTTCAAAAATAATGCAGAAATACACTGAAAAATGATCGTATCTGAAAAGTGATTTGTATTTTACTGCACTGAAGAAAAGGGTACAGTGAATATTCTAGTCACTTGCAGGAATAAAGTGTTAACTGCATGTCCATATATCACTGATCTGGACAAGCAATAATGTCTGGAAAGTCCAGACAGTCACAGTTCATATTGCAATAAATATAAAGTGTAGCTTGGAAATGCTAAATGTCCTGATTCTGCACATTTGTTGACTGAGGAACAAAAACCTACTCGGTTCCAGAATTTTGCAGAAACAAGATATTAACACCATCCTTGCTCAAACTGACCAAGGCTACACAGCATCCATTTGAAAGGGCTCAGAGTGACAGCAAAAGCAAAAACATCTCCACACATTTGAGAGAGCACTGGTCTTCATAAAGAAAAAAGAACCAAAATACACACTTGCTTTTATCCTTTTAGCTTGCTTTCAACAGTGGCACTATTTTCTAGGTGTAGATCACATTACATATTTTTCAAATCCAAATCCCCTCCCATGTATTGTATTTTTTTTGCAAAGTAAATTTTCTGAGGGGGGGAATTTAAATACAATATGAATTATGTGAAAGCTTATAGAATCACATCTATTGCAGTATAAAAATACAGAGGTAAAATGCATAATAGAAGCATACCTATTTCATCAACACTGAAACATTTTTCATCAAATACTTCATCTTTATTGGCAAGCTTAACACAGTATGGTATCCATATAGAGGTGTAGGATGTGTTGAAATAACAGCTATTTTCTCCTGCAGTGATATAATCAGGACATTCTTTCCAGTCTTCATCATTCCTAGAATGACAACAAAAGTATAAGATACGTGAGAGAGAGATTTATGGATTTTACAAAGTAGAAATTATAGATGTTACAAGACACAATGTTGATAAGTCACATCTTCTATGGAAATGAGAAATACATGCCAATATTTTCTGTGATTTACAGTACTGTGATAATACTGTGATTTGAAGAGAAATAACCACCCAAACAAGCTACATAGATGTATTTAGGTTCTCAGAGGTACTGTTAGTGACATTTCTATGCTTTGCATGGCATTTCTGTAAGACCAGTCAGAGGCCACATGTTAATGACTGCCAGCAAGCATGAACTTTAGTCAATTTAATATGTATTTAAGCAACTTTTCTTCAGGCAAAATTAAATTGCAGTAAGAAGCCCATCTAAATGATGAGATCTGAAACACTGAAAGCCAGTCCTTAAGGCAGTCTGTGCTGCAACACTTGCAAGGCTAAGGAGAGGGAACCTCTGCAGGGGAACCAAAAGGGAATGTAGGCACTGGGGGACTGACTACTCCCATGGAGGAGACCTGGCACAAAACAATCCAGAACTGCGGGATGTGAAAGAAGGGAAGAGAAATACAGTGCTGGGAGTGAGGAAGGGCTAAATTTCTTGGGATAAGGAACTTCTAAAACACAGGGTTGGAAGTACTAGCAATGAAGCCACTTATGTTTTTCCATTCTGAATTCAAACATTTAAAAATGTTCTCTGTAAATAGAAGAATTGCAGCAGAAAATGTAACATTTGCATATTTCATTTCATCTCTTAAACAAAGAGGAAACAGCAGATCTATATAGAGTGGGATGAATTCTCAGACTGCAAAACACAGATCCTTGTGTAGGGTCATACAACCAAACGGAAAGAAACTAGCAGGTCTAAACCCCCAGAATTATTTATTTAAAGAAAAACAGGAACAACCATACTATTAGAAATATTCTACACAAAAAGCATCAGATATTCAGCATTTCTGGAGTATTCAGATATTCAGTATTTCTGAAGTCATTTTAGGAAAACAAATCTCATAGTGAACAGATCTTCTGTTCTGAGTAGGGATCTTTTCAGAAATTACAGTCTTGGTTTGCTAAAAATATCATGTAAATGCCTTTTCTTACTAAGAGCTGTTCAAACTACAGAGAAGAGGGATTAGGCTAAAACAATTATTCCAAGTGCATCCTTCAATGCTGGAGTGGGTGCTTAAGAAGTAAAAACGGCAGATGCTGCATAAATGGAACGAGGAGCATTTCTGCCAATAGGCAAGGGTCTTGTATTTAGCTGATGAGACCAGACACGTTCCTAAAGGAAATGCTCCTGGCAAAGTCAGGACTTGATAAAGGTGTATGAGGTCAGATACTATGACTTGTGTTAAGCAGGAGACTGTGTTAGCTGATGTAGTTCAATCTTGAGCCTTAAATATTGCTTGCACATTAAAACAGAACTAACTTTTATGTGGTTGTTCAGTTCACATCTGTTATTGCAGTATACTGATTTTTCCTAGACCAAGATGAAATACATGATCTGTTCAATGTATGTGGTACTTTGTTGTACGTTTAATTTTTGAAGTTTGTACTCTTGGTGCATGCCACTAACAAGTGACAGCTCAACGTGTACATTTAAATAGTCGTTTTAACTTGGATCCCTGTATTTCTGAGCACTCTGGGAAAAGTGGTTGGAAAACACGCCTAGCCATTAAGCTTGTTTCCTAAGCAAATGTATCATCACCTGTAGAAGTGTCTGTAGATCAAAAAGGTTGAAAACCAGTACATTAGATGTAACAGGCACGCACATTCTCCTCCTATTCCTGTGAACAAAAGGCTTTTGTTTCCTAAATAGCCATTACTGGGTAACATGGTAATGTGCATGTTCTCTTTTCATCTAATCATTCTAACAACCTGAAAATTACAAAAGCTTAAGTGAAATATGAAACTGAATTCAGCAGGTCTCAATGAAACATAATCCCCAGCCTCTGAGCAGGCTTTTTATCTGGACCTGCACATTCAGCCTTCAATCTAGCAATTGATCAATTACTGTTTTATGTAACTTTACTAACAATTCAAAGGGGCTTGTATTCAAACTCTTCTTCTGTACACACACATAATGAATCTCACAGCTGCTATTAAATTGATAAGGAATAAACCGAAGTTCTCCATTAAAAAACCCTTTCCAAAGCCCTACAGTGTTCAACTTCAGATTCTGAAATCTGGACCTATATTTGGTAGGAATGTGTTATAAATTTTGTCTCCCAAGTAATACTTGTGACTGCGTAATGCTTGATAATTAGCAAACAAATGTGACATTGAAAAATACGCACTTACAACATGGTTTTATGCCCTTAAAAATATTCTGGTTCATATCATATCACATCTCAGCAATGAGGTAACAGGAATACAAGAGTATATGACTTCTTTATCTTTTCCTCTTTCTTCCATTGTTTCCACAGTATTACCTTTTCATGTACAACAGTTGTATTGTTCCTGGAGCAGTGAGGTTATACAAATTTCCATCAGTCCAATAACATGAAAATGTCTCCAGTTCAGGTGATCTGCACTTGCTGATTTGTGGCCATCGTAGAAGATCTGTCAAGAAAAATCGCAGGAGACAGAATGAGACAAAATAAAGAAATCCACAAGCCAGACTAACATACTGTTAAAATGAAATTCAGCATTTTTTCATATGTAATTAACTTTTCTTTCAATTGCTGATGTACAATGAGGCAAGATTTAAATTCCTCTTACATGCATATATCCAGGTGACTATACCTGTAAAAAGCCAAATTTGAAAGATGGGTCAAGTTCACTTTTCTATGTGTGAAGATGTTATTTCCACAGCCTGACACCCGGAGTGGGGAATTGCCAATGCTGGAGCTGTAGTTCAGTGCAGATACACCTGAATTAGCCCTGCACTTTTTTAATGAAACTGTGGTACTGCAGAGCTCAGTATTAGACTAACCGCAGCTCTGTATTTACCCAGCTGAGCAGTTTTGCAACGTGTCAGGGCCTGTAGTGCTAACATTAGAATTGCTACCTTGAACTGAGTTAAGGTTTGTGTATGTTATGTTGTGTAGATATAACCTTGGCCTGACAGAGATAAGGGCAGCTCTAAGCATGTGCCTGTTCTGCCACATGCTGTTTTGATACTCATCATTTCTATTCTTTGTCAAAACTGAAGTGATGAAGATCCATGAAATGACTAGTGCAATTAGTCAGCCTTGTCAGCCCCATAAAAAAACTAAAAACAGAAGTTATGGGTATGATTCGCTGCTTACAAAGTAAGTATGTAACTTCTTTCCTGATTTTTCAGGGTCTAATCAAGCTGTCACTCTAAAATGCCAGCATTTCCTACTTGGCCTGCAGAGCTTTCCAGAGGGAGATGCATATGGAGGTGTCTACCTCTCTTCACTTACTATCTGGGAAATATGATAATCTATTTGAGAAAATTTCTTCACTGTGCACCTAAAATTTGTGTGTTATTCAGGTATTTATGACCGGTGAAATGACCCCTGGCCAGGGAACAACGTGATGCTACTGGAGCCTGCATGGGAAGCTCTGCAGAAATATTTTTGCAGCATCACAGCTGTAAATATTTGCTATGAAAGATTTATACTCAAAGCTGAGAAAGCACTAAGGTACAGATATCCAGCAGATGCATCCTCCTACGCACGGGGATTTTGTAGTCTTCTTGAATGTTAGCTCCTTTATTTACAGCTCAGATAGACGCAGACACTGAATGCCAAAGTAATTTGTATTTCTTTGGCTTATTGGTTTAAATCATGTCCTCTACATTCTGCACTGATGAGCATCCATATCAGGCAGTAACTAATACATGAATATTACGCATTTCTGTTTTCCTCACCCCATACCATTGCCTCATTTCACACTTTGGACATTGAACAAGGCCTGAACTCATGAATGTAAATAAGAGGTTTCATAAGTCTATATTGACCTATCCTCCCCCTTTCCCCCCCAATTTGAAATTCTTCTTGCCAACCTAAAATAACTGCTGTTTGATTCAAGAGATTTAAATAGAAATGTTTTTTCCTTAGTCAGCATGTTCCATTTTAGTGAATTTCAAAGAAATTTAATTTTTTAAGTTGAAAGACATTTTCAAATGAAACGTTGCAGCAAAAGGAAAAAAATCAAACATTTTTCAGAAAATATTGAAATTAAACATTCAGGCATGGCACCTGGTTTTTCATGGTATGGCATTCTGTACTTGATGGCTTTGGCATATATCCCAGAATGCTTTTGTCTAACCTTGATCTGAATTTTTAGACAGTTTCACATCATTCACCAAACAATATTCACCTGGCAGAAATCCTCATTAACCCATGACCATGACATTGCAAACTATTATAACATAGATCTAAAATAAAATAGAATTAGAGATTCAAGAAAACTACTGTATTTATATTTTCTTTAATTCATCATAGTTTCAACTTTTGAACTTTAACTTAACTTACATTAAATTTGGTATTTTTTCTGTAACAGTGAAAACTCAAGTCACTGTTAAAAAAACAACAAAGAAAAATAAATGTAATTTTGTGCATCTGCTTCAGAGACACGAGTAAAATTGCCTCAGTTGCATAATGCCTATAATCAACAAGACACGTCTCTCCCTCTTTCTATAAACAGTGTGCAAGGAAGTACATGCTATGGCTTTTCCTGTTTCTATCCTCAGCTATGTGAATTAAGAACAAATATAGCTAGTTTCACTGAAACAGGTGAAAGAATTTAAGAAAATGATATACTGGAAAACCCTCCTAAGTTAGAATATTTCTGTTGATGCCTGCACTTATTTATAACTAGAACTTAACCATATTTAAAGCTCATGCAGACCATGTCCTCATCTCCAGGACAGGGGTAAAAAAAGTCACACAGTAACTTCCTAACATGACCAAATAATTTAACGGAGTCAAAACATTTTGAGACGTCCACCAGGATCTTCGTAGAGGTGCTGCTATATCTTAATACTGAATTCTGTTCTATTTACCATCTTTACAGAGAAGCTAAATTAAAGACTACGAGGCATACAAGCTCTTCTAGGAAAATGGGTAATAATGCAGCTAGAAGTGCTGTTGGTTATGATGGACAGGAGTAGCAATGCACACAGAATTCAGATTAAGACTTGGTCTCTTATACCCTAAATTCAGAGGAATGAATTCTTAAGGCCCCACTTTCTATTCCACTCCCTTGTGACAGGATTTGATACTTTATCTTGCAAGTGTTCCTTCAACATGCACAAGAATTTGTGAGCGCTGAACAGGTTTGTTTAGGATTCATATACTACTGGTTTACTGGACTGTAATTCCTATTTTTGTTCCCTTATGGCCAGTTTCATTTGTAACAAAAATGATCTTCTGATTGATCATTTCCAATTTCTGTGTCGAGTTTCCATCCTTCAAAGCCACATTTTTTCATCAGCCTGACTGATGAAAACCTTTTAATACTTTCTCGTGTAATGCTTGGCACTCTTGGGGTACATCTCCTGAATTTCTTGTTTTTATGATCAACATTGTACAGGACCCTGTGTGAGCTCCATCTCCTGAACAAACTGTACCAGACTGTGATAAATGAACACAATAGCTCAGCTGAATGCATTTAGGCATAAAGGCAGCAGGCTACTGAAAGTAAAGGATGTCAAACTCTGAGACTTAAAATAGACTAGGAAAGCAAAATATAACATGGGAACATACTTGCTCTTTTCATACCTGCTCTGAAAAGTTATGGTCAAATTGTCATGAATAAAACCACTCACCTCATTCAAAATAATGACTTGACTAAATACATATGCTCAGCAGCGGAAAACATGGAAAAAAGCTAGTAAATCTGTGGCTTCCACTGTGACTACAAAGGAAGTTTGGTACAAAAATTCCTAGTCCTGTCCCAAGGTTTAGCCGAAATGTTCAGCTACCAGAGCTGAGCTGTGGAAGAGTAAAATAAAATCTCTTTGCATTCTGCTTTCACTCTGTTATGACCACAGATTAGCCATGGTATAAACTCTGGCTCAGCTAGAAGAAACTGTGCCAAAACAGAAGCTGAAACAGTAGTGTGGTTTATGGAAAGAATCAGGAATGCAGATGTGCCATCTCTTCTACTTACATTTCTTTATAGGTCACCAGATGGCATTTTTACATTTAGTGTAGTTCCAATGCTATGTACACTTTAATGATTTAAAAGGGAGTGTGATACAGGAACAGCTTACTGAGAGTTACATATGGAAAGGCCTCGAAACAAAAGAAGGCTTAAAGACAATCTAGAGCTGTCAGGAGGCTAATTCCTGTAGAAATCAAATTTCCATGTGGGTTTTATTTTTTTATTATTTTTTTATTTTTATTTTTTTGTCTAGAAGTCCTTCTAATAAAATTTAATTTTAAAGGGAGCTGGCCTTGAGTGCAGAAGAGTAGTCACTGAATACCAATAGGAACTGAAGTTTACAACTGGGGTCTAGCAAAGCAACTTATCCTCACCTGAGGGACAGTCCTGCTGCCACCAGAGCTCTAGCAGCTCTGCAGGTGGAGCATTGCGTGAGCTGTACAGAAACAACATGTCTTACTAGCACGTGCTTAGGCAGGTGAAATAACCACGAGGATGTGACTGTCACATGAAAATCAAGCTAACTAAGCAGTAAATGGAAAAGGAGGGCATATTTTTGCTGAACAAGCTAAAGTACTTCTTGTGGTAATTTTAAAAGGTTCATGCAGAATTATCAGTTATCAGAACATCTGATACCTATCAAACTTAGAGCAAATGCACTCCTACCTGTAAACTGACAACAGAACAAACCTTATGAAACAGTACCTATCTTCATATAACCCACTCGAAGCATACACACTGTGTTATTGCTAAAGCATAGAAGAAAACAATGGAGACAAACAGGGGAATTAAATATATTTAAAATTGGAAACAGTTATGAAGACCTGGAGTTTTATTTACTGTATCTCAACTTTGAACATTGAAAGTGAATGCTCTATCAATTAGGCTCTGTTCCTGAATCCACCGAGCTCAACAAATGTTGGGCAATTTACTTTAACAGAGGTAGGGTGATTTCTCTGGTACCAGGAAATTCTGGTTCTTTCAAATTGCACAGCAAAATGATCAACATTTGCAGACAGTGGATGATATTTTAAATAGTACTGTCTAGTACTAATAAATTAACAGACACCACATATATGGAAAGTGGGATGCAGAAAGCAGAGACAACAACAAGGTCACTTCCTAATAATCAGGTTGCTTGCCAATCTGACTCAGCCTTTACTCTAGGTACAACTTATCCATGAAGGGCCAGGAACAAAGTTCTGGTACAACATTTTGGGGAAAAGAAGGTAATTTCTTTCATATCAGCATTGAATGAGATCCTTTCCACTCAGCAGAAAGAAAGCCAAGTTTAACAACACTATAATGGATAAAACATTGCAGTGAAGGGAAATGCTGCACAAGAGAGATTTTTGCCCATGGAGTAAGTGTAAATATTGTAACAGTAAATAACAATGTTTTGCTGAGGATCAGGGAACGGAAATATGTTTTCAGCCTTACATTGAAGACTAATTTGGTGACCACTGCTTTGAGCAATAACACAC